CAATCATCTATGTGTGCTCAATGTTATGTGATAGCATTTGTGAGACCTTAAAGTATTTTTCAGACAAGGATCAATTCAGTGCTCATAACCATGATATGTACAGTAACTCAAACATCCATTAAATCCTGCTAGCTAGCTTTGTATTATTAACAAAGCATAATGGTTTTGATTTGGATTTTATAATTGGGTGGAGGAGAATCCTAGTGCTAAGTTCATATTCAAGGGTATACATTAAGCAGAAGGAAGACTTTTCCAACTCACCTATTGACATTCTCTGAGTTACATTTCCAGCCAGTCCCCAAAATGACAACATGTGGACTGATGTCTCCTAAAACAATATAGCTATGCTATGTGCTTCTTCTGCAATTAGTTTATCTAGGTCCATTTAAAAATCCTTTCTCCTTACTATGGGCACTTTTACTTGAACAATAGATGTAGGGTCATCAGGCGGTCACTGATGCCTCTTAGCAGTTAAAGTCTATGGTAAGGTTATCATCACTGAATTACAATACTCTTCTGACCATATGAAAAGTTTTAAAGCTCCTTCATAACTCTTCAGTTAACCCTTACAGATCTTTATTATCTTCTTGATTATCTCTTTATTAGGCTGTTAAAGGGACCCTGATTTTACTTTTATCAATATTCATTCATAAATCTGAGTGCTTGCCTAGGGAGAGTAGGAAATATGGCACCATTTAAGGAAGCATTATTATGGAAACAGTACTTGCAGCACTCATCATATCTCAATGGCATAGGAGAGAATGTTGATCTTTATGATTCTCTTTTTGTGTGATAAGAACTTATGCTATTTTTTTTAAACAGTAGCAGCCAAATGGGAATGTGTTGGTCACATTACACTATAACACAGCAGCTATCTTTGGCACTAGCCTCAAAACACGATTTATCATTTGCTTCATGAATCAAAGCTCAGGCATGAATTACCTCAATGTAATGACATTACACTGAATAACCTTTTACTTAAAGAGGATTTTAGTCTCAACTGGACATAAGTTTGTAAGACAAACTATAGAAAATATCTGATAGGCACTAACTTTTCCATTAGGATAATCACTTATGGAGCTGATACTCAATGTTAATTTCAGAATTGAAAATAATTGATTGTCTTTGTTCCAAGTAAAAGGGACATGATAATAGCAAAAATAAATTATTTTAAGATGAGAAAAAAACACTTCTTTTCTATATTCAACTATCATAATACATGAAATAAAAAATTCAGTAGGTTATCTGGAAGTAAATTCATAAAGACCAATATGTAAATAATTTTAGGCTCATACTGAAATATTTCAGAAGAAATGAACGAATATAAAAATTTACTAAGAATTATTACTTAAAACATGATATAGACAATATTACCTTATTTCACATTTTAAAACCTAATAGCTAATATATAGACTTACTAAGAATGAGTTACTTTTTCCCTTTATTGACAAAATATTTAAAAGTTATATATGTGAACAGATTTATCTAGTTTGAAAGTTTGAATAGAGGCTTGATATTACTAATTCTTAAATAGGCTTGCACGAGAAATATCTGCAGAAATATCTCATAGACTTGACTTTTTTTTAAACTTAATTTTATTATTTTTAAGAACAAAAGAAAATCAACTCTAGAATATCTGTTTAGTGGCCAGTGTTTTAAATAGTGGAAAAGCTGATGACTATTTTTTAAGTACCTTTAAGTTTTCTCTTGTGAAACAATTTGCATAATTACAAATAACAGCCCTTTTAGGTGACCAGAAGATTCCAAAAGTAACATCATCAACAGCCGCTGTGAAGTTCCTTCACTCAAGTTGCTGATTAAAATTTGAGAACCTGACTGGGAATTTATTAGGAATCAAGAGATCTTGGAATATTATAAGTCATGAAAAACAGGAGTTATAATAAAAGTTCTTTGTGAACTTGTGTTGATTCTTGACAGGAGAATCTCTGTAATACTATCCTTTGTAAGAATGACTCCAAAGAACCATCCCTCCATCCTTTACTCTTGCATGACACTTTTAAATCTTTAAGAGGAACATACTTAATTTGTTTTTCAGTCATAAATGACTCAACCCCATTTGGGGTATTCTTAACAAAGATACTAGAGTGGTTTGCTATTTCCTTCTTCAGCTCATTTGACAGAAGGCAAAACTAAGATAAACAGGGTTAAAGTCTCACAGCTAGTAAGTGTCTGAGGCCAGATTTGAACTCCAATCTTTCCTGACTCCACACACAGAGCTCTATCTACTGCACCTCTTAGCTGCACATACTTGATAACTTGCTGATTATTTTCAAGTAAAATTTTTAAGCAAAGAAACCAAAAAGAATGGAGTAATTCTCTCTCCTGGATTCTAGTCTCACATTTCTTCCAGTTGCCTGTCTGGAAATTTAAAATGGATATCCTGTAGGCACTCTCCAATTCAGCTCAATTGGCCTTCTTGCTATTTCTCATATAACATTCCATTTCCTATCATTATGCTTTTACAAAGTCTCCCCCCATTCATAGAACATATTATTCCCTCCTCACCATTTCTAAGACTCCTAATTTCTTTAAAAACTTAACTGAAGTAGCACCTTCCCTCTAAGGCCTTTCCTGATTCTACCAGGATGTATCCTGTCAAAAATTATTCTGTACTTAATTTTGTATATATGTTTGTAAAGATAAGGGACAATATGACATAATGCAAAGAAAACTGGCCTCAAAGCCAGGAAGTCCTGGTTTCAACTCCTGCCTTTGACACACACTGGTTGTATGACTCTAGGCAGGTCACTTAGTGCTTTAGGCAATTCTAGATTGTGAGTTTCAGAGATGGCGTTGCATTGCTAGGACAAACTATAGGTCTAGTCCCTATTTCTACCTTTTTTGTGTGTACATGTCTACTCTCATATAATGGCAGCTCCTTAAGGATTGGGACATTGAATTTTAGGCTTGTATCCTCCAGTACCTGGCATATGAAAAGTGCTTAGTAACTGCTGATTGACCTTATTCATCGCTGATAACTGGACTCTATCTTTAAAAAGGGGACCTCTAGTTTTCTTACAGTAAATCTATTTACTCTTCACAACTGGCCAACCTTTCTTTTCCTGAATAACTGTAATGTCACACTTACCCATGTGGTCAGATCAACTAGACAGATATTTTCACAGAGTTTTCTAAATGAGAGGTCTCCAAAGAACATGAGGATTTATTTTATGAACTCCCCTAGGACTCACTATGATGTACCACCACTTTTAACTTCAGATGGAACCACAGGCAATTTGTAGATACTCTGTTGAGGTACATTTTATAATATATCAAAGGAACTGGAATTGAGATTTAAAAAAATTAATCTAAACCTTCTTGTAAATCAGGACACCAAATGGATTGCTTATTACACTCAGGAGTTGAAATGTTTCCTTTAGGTCTTCAAACAGTTCACTGTGGAATACATGATCCCCACAAAAGATAGATTGGAAATAATTTTTATTCCAAAAAATAAAGAGTAAGCTGGTCTATAAATAAATTTAACTGAAGACAAATGTACTTTGTCTGGGTATCCACCATGTTCAGCATATCCCTGGCAGATAATAGGTGCTTAATAAATGCTTGTTAAATGAATGAATTAATGCCTCCTCCCTTACCATCTTTGAACCAATGTAGTGGCTCATACCAGATGTGAATTCAACTCAGGCTGAGAGACCCAAATTGTGCAGTACTACTGATGAGACTTCTACAAAGAACTCTTCACACTCTCTAATCCCAAATTCCATGTGTTGGAAGGAACATCCATGGGAACCAAAATTGCTGTCCCTAAACTTACACTGTGCTTAGTCATCATGGAACATAAGTATGTGGAGGGTAAGGATTGTTTATTCATACATATATATATATATATATATGTATATATATGTGTATATACATATATATATGTATAAATAAACAATCCTTACCCTCCACATACTTATGTGTATATATATATATATATATATATATATATATATATATATATATATATATATACACCCACATGATTTACATTACAGAGTTTAATTTTGTATAAGGCATGACTGTCACTGTCTCCATCCAAGAATCTATGTTTAGTGGATTTCCAAAAGAAACTCATAAAATTGTCTTATCTATAGAATGATCCCCTGCTATAGACTCTATATCACTACCTATCCCACAGGGTTGTTAGAAGAAAAGTACTTAGGAAACCTTAAAGCACTATATAAATGTGAATTATTCTTCTTATCATTATGGTGAAGTTGTTCTAGTATATATTATACATGTCATGATCAAAATTTATATGTTACACATTCTGTCTGCAGTATAGATGGACTTATAAGATAAGACACTGGAACTAGGGAGGGTTTTTTTAATTGATCAAAGGCAGGAAATAAGTAAAATAACTCATTCTTTATGGCCACCATCACATCAGTTCTATTTGCAAATTAACTTAGTATTAAAAACATGGCAACCCTCATAATTTACCTACTCCGTTAAAATCTCAAACCCCTTTGCTATTAGAATGCCTGAGGCAGTGCTCAGGGTGTAAAAAGCATTGGGTCTAGCAACAAAAGATGTAAGTTTAATTAGGCCTGGGCCCTGCCACTTATAAAGTATTTGATCTTGATGGTCACTTAACATTTCTGAGCCTTAATTTTCTCATCTGTAAAATCGATATAATAGTGCTTGTACTGTCTACCTCTCTGAGTACTGTGAGGATCCCATGATAATATATGTAAAATTCCTGGTTAAAAAAAAAAAGATTATGCATGCCAGCTATTTTTACTCTGTTAACCAATCATCATGAAACTTACTCTAAGAAGCCAGTGCAAAGGAATATATTAGGTAAATTTGATTAAGTCCCTGCCTATCTTTCAAAGAACGCTTTTATTATAAACATTCCTAGCTCATCATATTTTCCATTGCCATTAGATCACAAAGAAGGTGGAAAAGCAATGACACCAATAGACCAAAAGAGAAATAAATGTTAATGAATAAATGAAAATATATTGTACCTGAGAAATCTGCAGCTAAGAGATCTAATGCCTTTAAAACTTTCACTTGTAAAATGCCAACGTCCTTCATATCTTTCAGGGAGTTCTGTAAGCACTGGGGAGAAAAAAGGAATTAAGTGAGTACAAAAATAGTTCATTGATATACTCTTTAAATGGCATTTAAATCTTATGGAAGAACATTTTCATTTTATCTTCCTTTTTATATCCTTAAAGAAGGGCTGCAAAAATGCAGGTAAAATCAACTAAACCCATTAAGAAAATGGACCCATTAACAAAATAGGCATTCATATCTGCTACATAAAATGCAAATGGTTGAGCATTAATCAGCTGTATCTTCAAAATGAAACCATTATGACCATATAAGATCTCTCTTTAACGTCATTCCCTGGTGACACTGGACATACTCTCCCTCTTCCTCCAAGAGCAAATCTTTATAAAGTTACAGACAGTATTCCTTTTTCTTTGCTAAAACAAGTCTGAACTTCCCTGAAAGTTCACATTATTCTGATCCCACAAATGCAAACTTATGGACATTAAATAGTGGAACTTGGCCCCTGAATAGGTCTCCCTACCAATGGAAATTCAATTCAATTCACTAAACATTTATTATGTGCCTACTGCACAGATGGTATGATGCTAGGCTCTGAGGATACAAATAATTTAAAATAGCCCCCAAAGTAATTGAGTTTAAATTCTACAAAGGAGGTACATGGAATCCACTTTTTTAAGCAACTCAAAAGTCAGAAGTATTTATTTTTAGTATTGTTTAATGAAATTTTTCTCTTCCTTTCAATTTTTATGAAGCAAATCTTCTATCATCATTTGTTAATCATCACTGTGAATGAGAGTAGCATCAGATTTACATTTTTATCACTGCTTCTTAAACAGTGACACTTTGGTTAATTGACATCTGGATAACCAGAACCTTTCAAACAACCAGGACTAAAATGATTGTGGCAAATGACTTTGCCATACCCTGAAGAGCCTGGACTGAAAATCTGCCCATTTGGCTCTTTGCAGTAGCAGAAAGAGATTTCAGAAATATTTCTGAAAAAATATAAAATAGCTATTATTTACAGTCATGAATGAAATTCAACAGGCTGAGAAACTGTGGACTGAAGACATGTCATCCTTAAATAAATGTAACTAACTCTTCATCTAAAATGAGAAAATTAGAATAATCTTCACTTAGTTATGCATTAACATTTGCAAAAAACATTGTAAAGGTAATAGAAATGATTAGTTTTGAACTGGCCAGCTTTTGGGTAGAAGGTAAGTGAAAGAATGAATTAAGATTCAAGTTTAGTTAATTCTACAAGTTAGTCAACAATAACAACTTCGAGTTACATGTTTAATACTGCCTCTTAGACCTGATAATTTTAATCAAGTAATGCAAAATTCTTTAGAAGCTCTTCTAGCTTCTTAAGTTTCTAATGCCTCTTAACAAAAATCATCAAATATATTAACTTCCAACTTTCAAAAGTTTTCTTTAAAGTGTTTTTAAATGACTTGTATTTGGTTAAATTCTATAATTCCCAAGAAATATAACTGAGGGCCAGCTAGGTGGCGCAGTGGATAAAGCACTGGCCCTGGAGTCAGGAGGATGTGAATTCAATACATTCTCAAACTCTTACTAGCTGTGTGACCCTGGGCAAGTCACTTAACCCCCAACTGCCTCCAAAACAAACAAACAAAAAGAAATGAAAAGAAGTAGAACTGAGAGATTAGTTAATGCTTCTAGGCACATGAAAGAGAGTTTAGAGTACAAGTAGTGTTATCATCTACATTGATAGGCATTTTATTATATGTATGAAGAGACTGATCTGCAGTTAGAACACCATTCCTTAATCATGCCCATTAACTGAGGAGGTACTAGCTCAACATAACATTAGATGTATAAAATTAACTTATAAACTCAGAACGTAGAGTAGAGGCTCATACACAATAAAATCAAGAAACAAAACATATTCATTTAAAAAAGTGACCGTTTAGGTGACCATTTAGATTACTTACACTTGCCAAATTGTATACTGACAATCGCTGGTATCATATGATATCATATAGCCATAAGGAGTAAAAATTCATAAGGACTTTACATATTTTTGCAAATATTCATGAATACATCATCAGCAACTTTCAAAGAGATAAATCAAACATATGATTACAACTGCATTTGTAAATATGCTTCATGATAAAGTCAGTAACTTTCAGATAGGTATAACATACATATGATTACCATTGCATTTGTAAATATGCTAAGATAAAGTTTGCTCCTACAATCCACAAATCTCTTTTGTATGATACTTACACAGAACCTAAGACTGGAAAACACCTTTTCTCTTCAAAACATCAAACCACATAAAAGCATGCAAAATGGCATCTCATTTTACCTGCTTATCACCTGTGCTAATTCCTCTTTTGTGAGGCAAACAATTACACTATGGACAAAGATTCCTTTTTAATCATAAAAATGATGTTTGTTTTAACTTTAAAATAAAAGTGACATGTCACTCCAGAACACTCACATATCGTTGGGAAATCTGCTTTCTTTCACTGGGGTCTGCCAAGGGGCAGACACAGAGATCAGAGACAGAGACACCTGAACAGGGTGTAAGTGTGATCAGCATAAGCAGTGAGCCAAGACGGTTCTCCAGCGGCAGCTCTAAACAATTGTCTTGCTTGAGCGGGAGGGCTGCAATATCCACTTTACACCTATAACATTTTCGTGAATCAAAAAGAAAGGGGAGAGGGGTGATTAACTCATGCTTCCTTTAGAACATTCAAAAGCAACTGATTTTTATTTTAAAATCACACTGTGCTGCATAGGCCAGTCTCTTTCAGAAACCTCACAAAGTCTGGGTTCCAATTTATTGCTCCATTTCCCTGAAGGGTAGTGAAGGTTGCAGGTGTTCCCCAGGCTCGTAATACACATTGCTGGTCTGACACACTTTAAAATTAAGAAGGGGAAGAGGTAGAACAAGGAAGACAGAGGAAAGAAATAAGGGGCTAGCAAATGGGGAGAAATAAGGAGGGCTTAATCTTTGCAAATACACACACACACACACACATATATGTATATATGTATGTATGTATGTATGTATGTATGTATGTATATAAAACCTGGATGAAGCCAATTGGACAAATGTAACGAGTTTCAAAGGTTGGGCATGATTAATCCGAGCTCCTCTCCAGGCTTAGTCTTTTACAAGTAAATAGAACAAAGGATAACAGTTTTAAAAAGAGAACAAGAGAAATACAAAGAGATGGCTAATGGAGAAACCATTTTCTGCCAGATTAATGCCAACTGGCAAGTTTTTATTTAAAGAAAACTTGTTAAGATGTTTCTTAATAGGCAAAAATTCCACAGGGTTCCCCCAGGTGGGTTTCTTCTGGATAAATGGGGCATGAAGTGCTGTTGATTGATCCCATTTCAGTTGTACTGCTGGCAGAGTTTGTACCCATCTGCTATAAATTGCATGTTTTCTGCCTCTTAACAGCCAATTTTCTGAGAATGTTGAAAACCTCAAACACATTTAAATACAGAAGCAAACACACAGAAAAGAGACTGAGGTGTTAAACCATTTATGTGCTTTGCCTCTGAAAACACTCCAGGTTGGCCTGGACCCCACTTGATTTGTTTACATACGGTGCTACTACTGCGAGGGTTAAGCCTTAAGAAAATGTTAGGTAGTACCTGGTACCTTAATGTGTAGATTTTTTTCTGTGCTCTGTTCTCTCCATAGTTGCTAATGAAAATGAATATTAAAGGTTTCAGAGCAGTATCATGTACAAGCATAAATCATCATTGGTCAGATGGTTTGATGACTTATTTTCCTTTATCATCTATCTTCATATGTATACAGATAATGTTAAATATAGAGATATAGGTAATATACAAGTATATTTAAAGAATGTAAAATTTTCCGTCAAGAGCACAGTTGTGTAAATTTGCAGTTTAGTCATTTCTGAGAGAAAACATTCAAACTTCTTTTCCTCAAAAAGAAAAATTATTATTTTAGCTTATCCCAACTTCTGCATGCATATACAGATTTATATTCCTGTACATTCCCTTTTAAGAAATCAACTTCTTGTTTAACAAATGAGACTGGGCATTGGGAGTGAGAAAAAACAGAGGTTTCTGAAATGATGTATCTATCAATCAACAAGCATTTATTAAGCACTATACAGCAGGCACTGAGTTAGACGAGAAAGATACAAAGACAAAAATATACAGTGGTATTCTTAACAGCAACAAGTATTAGATTTCTAAGGTTAAATTTGCTATTTTGGAAACCACTAACAGTTAATCAGAATCAATGCTGTTGATTAAAGTGAGTGGTCAAGCTGGAATTACAAACTGATTTTTTTTAAATATGACTTTCAAGAGATGAGATTGAATTTTGAGAAGGAACAAATGTAACCCGATGAATGTCTATTCAGTCATTCATTCATTGATTCATACATTCGACAACATTTATTAAGAGCCTATCTGCCTGGCACTATTAGGTCCTGGAAGTGTGAAGATACACAGCAAAGCAGCCCTCGCCCTAAAGAAGTTTATGTTCTCTGTACGCTATATCTCTATCCATCCATCTATCTATCTATCTATCTATCTATCTATCTATCTAATCTATCTATCTATCTATCTATCCATCTATCTATCTATCCATCTATCTATCTGTCTATGGTCAGGCATTTATTAAGCACCTACTATATGTCAAGTACTGTGCTAAATGCTAAAGATACAAAGAAAGGCAAAGGACCATTCCTGCTTTCAAGGAACTCAGTTTAATATGTGAGACAACATGCAAACAATTATGCACAAACAAGATTCATATGGAGTAAAATGGAAATACTCAAAACAAGGAAGGTGCTAGCATTAAAGGGAATAAGGAAAGTCTTCTTGTAAAGGATGGGATTTTAGTTGGTACTTTAAGGAAGCCAAAGCAGCCGAGGGCAGAGATGAGGAGGGAGAGAATTCCAGGTATGAGGGACAGCCAGTGAAATTTCTTGCAGTCTGGAGGTGGAATCTCTTTGAATATTGCATAGTTATCTAAATGCATGGGGATACTGGGCTCTCTCTCAACATATATAGTTATAACTGTCTACATAGTTACAAGCATCTATATAAGACTTTATATATAATATATACATTTATATATAATATATATTTATATCTGATTTTATATACATGTATATATATATCTATATGTGACAATATTATATAACTATATATGGTGATATATATAAAATTATCTATGTATACATGCAAATATGTATATGTATGTTCATGTATATATTACACATATATTTACACATGTATACACACATACATGTGTTGTATAATGTTACTTCTGAAGAGAAGAATGTTAGTAACTAGGGTAGGAGAGACAAATCAATATAGGCTTCCTGAAGGAGATATCATTTGAACCAAATTTACAAGGAAGTTATGGATTCTTGGAAATAAAGAGTGAGTGTGTTCCAGGCATGGGTACTAGCCTAGGCAAAGGCACAGAGAAGGGAGAAGGATTGTTGTGTATTATGAACATCAGATATACTATTTGGATTGAATGTAGAATCTGGGAAAGATAATTAATTGCAAGAAGTCTGAAAAGGTAGTCTTGGGCCAGATTATAAAAGGCTCTCAATTGTTCAGCTGAGGAGTTTGTATTTGATCTTAGAATCAAGAGGGAACACTAGAACTTTTTATACAGAGACTTTGAAAGCTGTATGAAGAATTAATCAGAGAAGGAAGAGACTGAATGTTGGATGTCCAATTAAAAGGCCATTGCCATGATTTAGGTGAGAGGTGATGAGGACCTGAACTAAAGTATGTGAATGTAGAGAAGGGAACGAGAGAGATATTTTCTGGTGATGGAACCAATGAGATTTGGCAACTTACTTGGTTGTTTCAGAATGTAATTCCAATATAGATAGTTCCAAAATGTTTTAAGTAGTGCCATGACTGTCAAAAGTATATAACTCCCTAGGGTTGATAAGCTGTTTGGTTATATATGACTCTTCATAATCCTGTGGACCACAGCATACCAATACTATCTATGGTGTCTTCTTGGCAAGCATACTGGAGTGGTTTGTCTTTTCCCTCTCCAGTGGATTAAGGTAAACAGAGATTAAGTGATTTGCCCAGGGTTACACAGCTAGTAAATGTCTGAGGCCCATATTTGAACTCAGGTCTTCCTGACTCCAGGTCCATCCATTGAACCACCTAGCTGCCTCCAGGGTCTAGTTACCATCCGGTAATCAGAAAGATGAAGAGGCTCAAGATCAAACGACGTAGGGATCAGCTGAAGGAATAAGGAATGTTTATCATGTATGAGAAAACATTTAGATGGGATACAATCACTGTCTTCAAGTATTTCAAGGGCTGCCATATGAAAGACAGATTAGACTTATATGCATGACTCCTGAGAACAGAACTAAGAGTAATGGTCTGATGTAAAGAAAAAAAATCTTAACAATTAGAGCTCTCCAAAAGTGGAATAGTCTGCAATGATATGTAGTGAGTTCTCTGTCACTAGAAGCTTTTTCAAATAAAAGCTAGGTATGTATACAGATGAAATTCTTTTTTAGGTATATACTATTAGAATAGAAGGCCTCTGAGGCCCCTTCTAACTCAGATTTTGTGACACTGTAACGACACACACACACACACACACACACACACACACATAATTGAATATAGGAGCTTTGCTATATTGGGTTATAAAAATCGATTTCATTATTGTATTGGCTCCTAGTGCATCAATGCAGAGTCTATTGGAGTAGATTCGTGACAACACAAAACATTGTGCCCTTACCATCAATACAATTTTGCCCAATAAATAAAGTGTATTACTCAGACCTTGACATGCATTTGTACAGATGACCTAGAGTTTATTCATCGGTCTGTATATTTTGGATATACAGAAATGCAAGAGTTGGGCCGAGAGGTGAAGGGGAAGAGAAGACCAGATTGAATTGGTTTGGGAAATTGCAAAAGTCCCTTAATGACTTCTAGGAAATAAATATTTGAATATAAATTATATATTGCTTTTCAGATATTCCCTATTAAACAGACCTTTTGATTTTTTTCATTCCACTATGAAATTTTATCGGCTTTATGCTTTACCTTGTTTATTAAGATAATGTAATTGAAGACTTAAGCCTTTACTTTATGGTGAAATAAAAGAAAATATCTGTAAATTTTAAATATGATTGTGAAAAATAATTCTTTGACAGAGGCAAGGCTGAAGTTTCGGATACTAATAACATGGGGACACTGGTGTGTCCATTTTTATTTGAGCAGTGAATTTTTCTACTACACTGAATGAAATGGCCAAATGGACTTGTTTTTACACCAGGTAGGCATAATTTAGGCAAACATCTCTTTTGCATATGCAATATAACTCATGAAAAGTAATTATTAGTTAAGTCCATTAGATGAAAAGTCATTCTAACAGTAAAGCTTATGAAAAAACTTTAAGCATTGCTTCACCAAAAATGTAAAACCTTAATGTGGCTCAATAAACATACATTAAGCATATACTCTGTGCCAAGCTACATCCTGGGGATATGATGGAAAAAATTGAAGTAGTCCTGACTTCAAGGTCTACCTTCTGTTGGTTTGGCTAGGTTAGTTGAACCTAGCTAGGTATAATTTTTTAATTTTTTAAAAACATATCTTTCTTTAAAAAAGAAACACTTCTGTTCCT